AAGCTTAAAGTGAAATGTCAGCTGAGCGTTCAGTTCCAATTGAAACCAAGAAAAATTGACCGTTATCCAGAACATGCAGAACTTGGTCATTTCCCCTTGCTGTATTGCAGAGGACGTTTAAGAAATATTCAATGATTTATAACGCACGTGCATAGCCATTGTTTTACTTATTAAACCTTTAGTTTGGTGACGTCCTAGTTGGTGTCGCCGTCACGGTTTGCTTAAGCTGCTAATTTTTTTACCAACCTGTGACCCCATAATCATTTTCTGCGTCACTTGTTTCTGTGAAGAGAGAAAATTAGAAAAAAGTCAAATGCCACATTCCACAAAAGAAGGAAAATTCGGTCGTAGTGGATGATATTTGAGCAATATCTGTACGTCTCAAAAATGGTTAGAGATTGCTCAGTGAAAAATTTGAGCGAGTCATACAACTCTTCACAGGCGTGCAAACAGTTTTAACGAGACCTCCTACGGATGGGACGGAACTAGCTTTGAAAGATCAACCAAGATGAAGTTTGGAAGCAGGCTTGCTTTGGAACTAAGTATGTATATTAATGACTGCAAATTAGTTCAATAAAGGTAGTTTACAAGTTAATGGTAGTTACATTATACAAATCCTACAGTTTTTATCCACAGCAAAAGCACTTATGGTGATAAGATTACGTCACTGATCAGTAAAACTTCACTTTGGTACATTTTTGCACTCTGTGCAACACTTTTGGCTAGCAGTAAATGATTTGTTGGAAGAAAAGCAAATTGTTTTAATCATTTCTTATCATCCCTTTTATGCTTAAAAATGCTGTTGTAACATTACAGGTTGTTCTGTATACCATTTGAAATTTCCTCTTCAGCATCTTCTTCTACGTCACCGTCATCTTCATCTTCATCTTCATCGTCATCGTCACCATCATCATCGTCGTCATCATCGTCGTCATCATCGTCATCATCATCATCGTCGTCATCACTGCCGCCATTCCACATACTACGTTTCTGACGTTTATGGATGGTCAGTGTTTCCTTACCGTTCTCCTTCTTTAAGCCAAAAGTTTCAGGACTTCTCAACAACACCTAATGAAATGAACACAAATTCGAAAGCCTCCATGAGCTATGAAGTAACATCAATTACTGCATATACTGTTACACCGTTACGCCGTTACACAGAGTTGGCATTATTTACACATGAACAAGAGTGCCCTTGAGTTAACTGTAAACCTGCAACCTTTGAAATTTTTATTAATGACCTTTCCGCCAATACTAACTTCAACAAAACCTAGAGGACCTTAACCCAGTATCAACGTCTTTCGTCAACTCAAGATTGTAGCTAGTTTGCAGTAACGTTTCTAGGGTTCGTTTAGAAGTTTCGGAAGTTTCACATCTCATGTGTAGCATTTTTAAACTTCGGTAACAGAACGCTTATCCCTGAGGCGTTTCTGATTGCTTGTTCAACATTAGGTTACAACAATGCACACTACACTGATCTCTGCAGTGCTGGACATGTCATCAGATAGTGTGGAATTTGTTAACTCAAGCGTCAAGTCTTTCTTGTAGGAATTGAAAATGGCTGAGCTTATAGAGAGAGCCACCTGAATGAAATGAATGCCGTACTTTACACACAAAAAAAACACATTTGCTTTGTTTTACTCCGTCAGTGAGCCTCAAAAAGTGTACTCTACATGTAATGGCACGAGTTACCATGTACACCTTGCATCCCAAGCAAATGTTTGCGGGAATGGACAGCTATAAGGTTAACCAACAAATGACAGAGAGAATCGTCCACAATCATGATCACATACATTTGGGCTTTTGTTGATTTTCCCAACTCTTGCTTTTACACTGCAGCCAAACTTGTCAATCAAAGCCTGTGATAAAAACAAAATGCAATGTCATAGGCCTAATCTCCAGAATGTGAAGAAGTCTTGAGTGTTGTAAGTCAATCATATTTTATTATCTATCAAAGTACAGATAGGAATCACAGGCATGCATAGTTTAAATAGGAAATTGTGGTTTACCTTGATAAATTCCTTGGCAAATTCAGTTATTTCCTAAAATCCAGAAACACAGTGTTTATTTAACCAGGAACTCATAACCTATTTTCAACTTTTCGAACCTTAAAATGTTTGTTTTCTAAATGCATCTGTATACTGCAAAACACTTAAATGATGACCTGCTGTTATTTCTCAAGCTTTCAGTTATTAGCAGATGAAATACTCCATTTAACCTCATTAGAGAGGTGAACAATGGAACAATATGTAATTCACAACTGATTGAACATGGAACACAGCAAGTTGCAAAAAACACCAATGAGAGGATTGTTAGCAAACAGTTACGTTGAGGTAACAGAGATCTGAGACATAATTAAAGGCAAGAAAACATCCATCATATGATAACAGACTTTGCTTACCTTGCTTTGCTTACCCACTCCCTCGTTATAGTGACACTAACATAAAGTACATTTAACTAACCCTACAAATGAAATAACCTCACCTTGTTGGGAGGCGATGAAGCAATAGTCTCACAGGCTTGAAGAAGAGGTGTAAAGCCATTGTTGTCAACCAAATTGGCCATGTCCTGGAGATTTTCTGGGCTGGTCTAACATGTAACAAGGCAAAGATGTGCAGTTAACAATTATAATGGAGCACACAATTTTAGGTCAGATTTTCAAACTGAAAAGGAAGAAATTGTTTTCCCTGCATGATAGAAATATCTAAAGTAACCGATTTCCAGACTTGGTTCAGTCTCTGAATTCTGGCCAACATTTTCCGAAGTAATAATTATGATAGAGCCAAAGGGTGCTGGTTTAAATTGATTCGTCATTCATACCTTCTTTAGAACAATCTTCATGTACCTTCTAAGGTCATGCTCAGTACACCCAGTAGCTAACATGTGAAGGAGGTTTCTTCCACTCCTCGCGAGACCTATGCTGGGATCTGCATCGTGATCAAGAAGCATAGAAAATTGGTCCATATTTCCCTGTGAACAGAGCAAACTAATATTCAATTGAGGTTGCTTCATGACAAAGCAATTATAATGATTCTTGGAAGCATAAAAAGGTTGTTTGACATCACAAGAACCAGTCAAGCACTAGATCTACAGTTACATAAGGAAAATGCGAACCATTAAATTATGCCTTAT